CCGCCTGACATCGGTAAGATGTCACACTTGGACCCAAACTAAACTTGTTGCACAGCAGCTGATACAAGAAGAACAACGTCTGTGACTGGCCTAAAGTAAACTTTGGCTTTACCATCTTTCACCACCTTGACTTCTACCTTCCTGACAAGTCCGTCACTACTGGGATGAACCTTTGCAATCACCCCCATGGGCCACTGATTTCTCTTCACGAGAGGATCTTTCAGGAGGACCACATCCCCCTGCTGCAGGTTTGGTCTGGTGGAATGCCACTTGCAGCGGCATTGCAGTGTTGATAAGTACTCCTTACGCCAGCGATGCCAGAAAGAGTTGGCCAGACTCTGAACTCTTTTCCACTGTTGCCTGTAGAGGTCCTTCTCCCCGAAGTCACCTAAGGGTGTTGGAGGTGCACCAACTTTTTGCGTGAGGAGTGTGGCGGGAGTAAGGATGCACGGAACATCGGGATCGCTTGACACTGGAACCAGCGGCCGTGCGTTGATGATGGCGGCCACCTCTGCCATGAAGGTGGTCAGGACGTCGTGCGTGAGGGGCCTGGAACCAAGTTGAGCGAGCTGGGAGTCTAATATCTTACGTGCCACTCCTATCATCCACTCCCAACTGCCCCCCATGTGAGAAGAGTAGGGAGGGTTGAAGACCCAACTACATCCATGATCATTTAGGAAGGATTTAACACGTGGGTCACAAGGAATCCTTTTGTCAAACCCTAGCTCCCTGGAGGCTCCTGTGAAGTTAGTTCCACAATCCGATCTCAATTGCTTTGCAGGTCCTCTGACTGAAAAGAACCTGCGGAGAGCGTTAATGAAGCTAGACGTGTCCATCCCCTCTATGATCTCAAGGTGAACTGCCCTTGTGCTCATGCAGGTGAACATCACTGCCCATCGTTTGCTGCTGGCAAGTCCGCCCCGAGTACGACGAGAGGCAACCGACCATGGCCCAAACACATCTATGCCTACGTAAGAAAATGGAGGCTCAGCACTAAGACGTTCTGCAGGAAGATCTGACATTTTTTGGAACTGTGTTACTCCCCTTAGCTTGCGACAAACTACGCATGAGTAAATGAGGCTGCTGATCTGGCGTTTACCTCCTAAGACCCAGTAACCTGCGGATCTTAAAGCACCCTCTGTAAGATGACGCCCCTGGTGCCTGACCCTTTCATGGTAATAGCGGACTAACAGGTTAGTTACATGGTGTTTGTGCGGCATAATCAAGGGGTGTTTTTCTGCGGACTCAAGGTCAGAATGAAGAAGGCGTCCGCCAAGCCTCAGGAGGCCTGATTTGTCAAGGTAGGGAGAAAGCTTTAAGAGAGGGCTTTTCTTTGGGATGTCCTTCCTTGACTCTATTTGTTTGAGCTCCTCTGGGAAGCTTTCTTGTTGGACTGCTTTTATAACCGTCTCTCTTGCTTGCTCAAAATCTGAGGTAGTGAGTTCATGACATATATGCCATCCCTTACATTGTCCGCCTGATTGCTTTACCTTAAAGGTGCGTGCAATGTGTGCCAAACGTGCAACTGCCCTGGTAAGAGACTGCCAGCTGGAGAAAGATTCTAAGTTTGCAGTCTTTAAACAGGGGTATGATGTTTGAATGGTGGCAGTGATCAAGGGACGAACTTCAATGTCTGAGTCGGGGTTTTGAAGTTGGAATGTACCTGATGAGTTGCTCTGTAAGGGCTTTAAGGGAAACTCCGGCCCTTTCAACCATGTGCTGGACAACAGTTTTTCGGCAGGTAGAGATCTGGATCCGTGATCGGCCGGGTTGTGCACCGAGGGTACATAGCCCCACTGAGTTGGTACTGTTGCTCGTCTGATGCGTTGCACCCGGTTGTTCACGAAAACGTGAAATCTTCTTGCCTCATTGTAGATGTAGCCAAGAACGACTTTGCTGTCGGAGAAGAAGCGCATGTTACTAATCTGAATGTCCATTTCATCTCTGATTAGTTCCCCAACTTCCACC